AACACGTCATCCTCTTCTTCGTCTTCACTGACCGTTTGTTTATGTTAGCGTTAAGCTAAACACGACTAGGAGTGCATGTTTCTCGCCAGAGGCTTTGCTCTGATACCTGCAGTTTCACACGGCTCGCGTGCTGTGTGTGGTGAAGAGCAGGCACGTTCAGCTCTCGAGGGAGTTGGATGCGCTCAGCATTCATTGCCTTTTCTTGTGAGGGATAAGCATGAATTGGACGCCCTCGTCTCACAAGGAGGCGGCGTGTGTTCATTGTGATGCATTCGCGGGACTACTGAGGGGGATGTGAGCATTTCACCATTTACCTGAGTTTGTAGATAGCGTTTGCATGAGTGCGTTCGCCTCTCGCGGGAATTCGCGGCAGCAGTTTTCGTTCGCGCTTGATTTCCAAGGTAATCTAGCGGTTGGGTGGAGCGTGTTTAGCTCCCGCGGGAGCTGAATGCATGCTGCGCGTTGCGGTCGCGGTGAGAACATGGAAAGGACCTGACGGGAAATTTTTCCCTATCAGTAATTTTCTTTTGTTTATATAGGAAATGTATAGTGTGGATCTGTCTGCAGTTATTGGACAGATGGTTTATATCATGTCCTTTTCAGATAACCACATTATACTGCACTCCGGCTTGAGTAAAGAAAAAAAAAAGAGCCTTCCATTCCTTCCCGATCTTCATTTGGAGATCGAGGAGGTTTGGAAAAATCCATTCTCGTTCCACATCCACAGATTCCAGCATACTAGTTATGCCAACATCGAGGGGATGCGTGAGAATGGTTATGAGAAGATGCCACCTGTTGAAGAGACGCTGGCCTGCTATCTCTCCATGGGAGAGACATCTTCTCTTAAGGCTTCCCTCCCTGCCATCCAAACCCCTTCAGGAAAATACATCTTGTTTGAATGGTAGGCCATACGCGGCAGCAGGTCAGGCTGCAGTCTCGTTGCACACGATGGTGGTGCTTCAGGCTTTTCAGGCTGATCTGCTGAAAGACCTGGATAAAGGCAGTGTCTATCCCCTGATGAAGTGGCTGAGTTGCATCGCACCACGGATCTTGCTCTCCGTGCCGCTAAGCAGGCCGCCACTTACTCATTTCTCACCCTGAGGGGTCTCCCAAGATTTGAATCATTCCTTAACCTTCATGCACATTCTCTAAGCTAGAGCTCCTCTCGCTGACGCGTTGAGGAGCTCAATGCTCCATAGACGGTCGGGCCCGTGGGTCCTCACTGTCACACTGCCCTTATGGTTGAACCAGTAAATCACCCCTCTGCGGAGTGGGCTGGAGTACACTGCCTAAGCAGGCCGCCACTGCCATTGGCAGAATGGCAGCCATGGTGGTTATGGAGAGACATCTGTGGGTGAGTCTGGTGGTTATCGGGTCGAAAGAGAAGGGCTTTCTTCTTGATGCGCCGGTTTCCCCTTCTGAACTTTTCGGCACTTCTGTCGAGACGGTGGTCATGAGGTTTAAGAAGGCCAAGACGTGCTCGGCTGCCTTTAAATCCTTCATTCCATGAGGGTCCAGGCTTCGGACTTCGCCTCCAGCCTATATCATGAGCCTGAGTCATGCGCGGGAGCCATGGTTGGTGAGTACGATCCATTTTTATCTACTCTACTGCTAGTTCTTGTGTATTTGATGCTAGCCTTTCTCTGCAGCGCTACTCGGACCTGTTCTGTTTTTCTGACTTTTAGGTTTGACCCACCTGCTAAGTCAGGACCTCCTGCTGTTGACCGATTACAGTGATGGTTTCACTCATCGGTTCTGGTTCCAGGCTGGTGATAGCCCTCATCTTCGGCTTGGACACGCAGCCTGGGCTTCTGAGGAAGTCTCCCAGCATCAGGTCCCCAGTATAACGCTGCAACCTCAGGACCTGTGGGTCCTTTTTGTGGGCTAGTACTCTTCTGAGTACATGCTTCGCGACATGCTCCCTATCCTCTGGCCAGGTGCGAACTACTCATTTCTCACCCTGAGAGGTCT